TTAATTCTAAGAATTTAACTAAGTTGTTTCTTCATCTATTAATATTTAACGATATTATTTTTGTAGGTATAGGCTGCGAAATTTTTATTACAAAGCAAATATTGACACAACTTGGCAATTCTGAATGCCGTAGCAAATGAAGTAGCAAATGATAAAGAAGATCTAAAATTTAAAAAATTTTTCTTATTTTTGAATTCGAATATGGTAGACATATATTAGTGTATAAATCTTAATTGTGACAAAAGATTTTCAAATTTATAAAAAATATTACATAAAAAAAGTCTCGATATGAAAAATATCGATTCTGTCAGTAATACAGAGAGTTTAGCAATTACGTTAAATATGTATTTTTAGAGTTATGTTGCTATAGAACCAGATTTTGCAATTTCATTCTTAAAAGTTTATAATAAATAAGAATATATATTTTATTTCAATCTGTAGTGTAAATCTAGTTTCATATTAAACGAATTATTTATTCTTTTATTAAAAAAAACTCACTATAAAGACTTACAAGTCATTTTCCTAATTATAAATATCGCAATTAAATATTGCAATCTCTCAATATCGTAATTTTAACCATGATATGAGTGGACAGGAATTTATCTTAGGACAAAAATTTATCTAAGGACAGAAATCTTCACAATCTCTCTTGCTGGCTTCTTAACCCAGTTTTAAATATCTTAAAAGATTCCTCTCTGGTCTTAAATATAAAAATGAACAATAAAAATCGATATATAAGAATTGCAACTCCTGTCTTTTTTTATAATCATTAAACTTTTGCTCACTAACACTTAACTGAAAAAGTGGATAAGTTATGTAGTCACATCACAGTATAATCAGAGTGAAGCTTAGGATTATGTCCGCATTTTAGTTGAAAATTGTCCACTAACGTCTCTAGTGCACAAAATGTGCAGCTTGAATTACGTAGGCATGCCCACGAAAATTCCTGATAGAAACACCATGCACATTATCTATGCGAATAAGGGTACAACTAAAACGCGTCCATGACCACTCTCAGGCTTCTCTCTATAGAAATTATATCTTGTCGGTACAAATATGTATTACCGACATTTTATACTTGTACCGACGAGATTTGACATTAAAAACCTATTAAAAACCAACGATTTTAGGAAATTAGCACATGGTTCACACATGATTGTTAAAATTTTTAACAATTAGCTTATTGTAATATTAATTTATTAGTTTCTTTTTACCCATTTTATGATATCATTAGTTTATTATTACTTATTTTATGATCATAAAATTTTATAATATTTTGTAAACAAATATATATGTATTTACAACTTGCACATATTTAATTTTATTTAAAAAACGGTTTTCTAGTTACTATTTATATTTGATTATCTACTGTGATGTGAAGTGATTTGTCGAGGAAAAAATTGCAATTTTATAATATATATGATATATAAGTATGCATATTTATTCATGAAGCATTCATGTACAATAAATAAAAATGAATTTAATAATTTTACTTAAATATTTATATTAAATATCATAAATTTATATCAATAGTCGATAATATCGGTATTTTCCAATTATCTCAAGATATTTAATGATTAAATTTGCCTAAGATTGACAGTCTTTAATAATATCAGCAAAGAAAAGCCTGAGAGTGATGTTATGGCATTTTAGAGATATAGATGAACAGTCGTGTTCATATCGTCCGTCTTTATTACTCTAGCACGGAAGAGAACCACAAAATCGTACACATTACCTACGTACGAATAAAGTTACAGCTAAAACGCGGCCATGACCACTCTCAGACTTCTCTCTGGTGGGACCCCGTCGAAACCTCGTAAGTCACTAGCCACTATCCCCAAGCTCCGTTTTAGTATTAGAATTAAACGGCCACTTCGATTTTCTGCGATGATAAAATCTCATTCTGGTATTTGTCTGTGCTACTGTCACAATTCAGATCAAGAGCATGTTTATATAATAACGCATCTACGAGTCGTATTTACGTTCGCGTACGTTTTTTATTTATTGTAGAAGTATTGATGAACATTAATATTAATATTTATCACATGTTCATATTCACATGTACAGGATGTTGCATCGACAATATTAGGCAGTACGTCGGGTTGCGTGACAGACTTTGCAGGGGCAGACGCGGTTCAATAAGTAATGATAACATATACCACATATACAACATATACAACATATACAACATGTACCGTCATAACTTACCGAACGAGTGAATCGCGCGTCTTTATATCAATAAAATTTGCATTGTTCCAATTATTACTTGGATAATAATTGCTGTGATTCTTATAAGAGGAGTAGAAACGATTAAAGATAAAAAATTTTGAATTTTAAGTGGTGTATGTTTAAGATATGATTTAAGTTAACATGATTGAATTTAAAGTTAACGTGAGGGGAAAAAAAACAAACATGACGACAAATTTTTTTCGTCTATTTACTTTTCGTATTCGCGTTATATGTTTAGATAGAATTTTTAGATTCAAAAGAAGTGAAAGAAAAAGAATATGTTTATTGCAACTTGGTATTCCACTTTTGAATCAGCTCTTGAAAGAAATCGAGTCGATCTGAAATATAGCATAGAATAAGTGTAATGTAATCGATGATGGTCGATGAGTGCTATGAATAATACAGCCAATGTAAAAAATTGCAGCAAAATTAATTTAATATTCAATCTTTAATTTCGATTAAATTTATTTGATCTGAGACTCAATCACAAAAATGTTTTTTCGACAAATGTTGGAGAAACAGCTTTTGCGTATTGTGTTTTTTGAAAATTCTATCAAATTTCATTGATATAAAGGCGATTCACCCGCAGTGATAAGATTGTGATGGTACATGTAGATGCTGTACCATGTATCATTACCTATTGAACCGCACCTGCCTTTGAAAAATCTGTCACACAATCCGTACTGCCTAATATATTGATGCAACACCCTATATATATATATATATATATATATATACACTATTACTAATAT